TGCTAACCTTTGAAAATGGTAGAATATCGATGAGTTCTTTTCAGTACAGTGGCTTAGTGTGCTATTTCTATCTTCTTTGGATGTTTTCTGTATCATTAAATATTTTGCCTGTAGAATCTTTCAATATTGTAATCAAAGCTTGACTTTTTCCTTAATTTTTTTTCATGATAAGATATACTGAGCATCCTATTTCTTTTTTGGTTTTGTAACTCTAATAAATCTTTGCCCATTTTATTACAATATTTTACTTTGTCTTCTCATCTTTGAAACTTTCTACTATGCTCTTTGACTTTATCATTTCTTTCATTTTCCTTGACCGCTCTATGATTACAAGTTCAGATGCGTCTGAACTATGGTATTGGCTAAGAATATCATAAGTACCATGGACTGCCAAAAGAACAAAGAGATCTCAGAAGTACAGACAGATTGCTCTGTAGAGACAAGGATGGTGAGACTTAGTCTCACATACTGTGGGTGTTATCAGGAGAGACAAGCCCCCGGAGAAAGACATTATGCTTGGTAAAGAGGGGCAGCAAAATAGAAGAGCGCCCCCCACCCACCCACCAAAATAGATTGACACAGTGGCTGCCAACCACGGAACCATATTTAAAAACAATTATACAGATGCCACAGGACTGGGTAGTACTTTGTTTTGTTGTACAAAGGGTGGCCAGACGTCAGAACCAACTTGATGGCCTATGAGAAAGAGCAAGTTTCGAGCCTCTTTGGACATCCACTTTGATCTTCTTTCCCATCATTTTCGTAATCTTTTGCTTTCTTCATACATGATGCTCTTTATGTCCCCCCACAGCTCACCAGGTCTTCTGTCACTTATGTCACACACAGCAAACTTGTTCTTGAAATGTTCTCCAAATTCAGGTAGGATAGACTCAAGGTGGTATTTTGGCTCTCCTGCACTTATTTTAACTTTTTTCAGACTTGAACTTGAACTTATATGAGCAATTGATGGTCGGTTCCACAGTCAGCTGCCAATATTGAGCTGTTCCATTGTCTCTTCCTACAGATATAGTCAGTTTGGTTTCTGTGTATCCCACCTGGAGAAGTTCAAGTGTGAACAAGTCATTGGTCCTGCAAAATTTTATCCTGCATTTTTTCCTATCACCAAAACCATAATTACCAATTATTGTTCCTTCTTATGTTTCCTACTTTTGCATTCAATCACTAACAATTAACACTGCACCTTAATTGGATGGTTTGATCAATTTCAGACTGAAGAAGTTAGTAGGATACTTCAATTTCTGTGTCACCAGCTTTAGTGATTGGTGCATAAATCTGAGTAATAGTATTAGATTTCCTTGGAGGTGGACAGATAGAATCTTATTACTGATAGCAGCATCCTTCAAGATAGAACTTGAAATGTCCCTTTTGACTATGAATACGATGTCATTCCTTTTGACTTGTCATTCCCACCACAAACATTAGGACTTTCTGATTCAAAATGGTCAATTTTGATCCATTTCAGCTCACTTTCAGATAGGATATCAATCTTTATGCATTCCATTTCATTTTTGATGACTTCCAACTTTGATAGATTCATACTTCATACATTCCAAGTTATAATTATTAGATTTTTGCAGTTGTTCTCATTTGAGTCATGCCTCATCAGCAAATGAAGGTCTTGAAGGCTTTACTCTACGCATGTTATTATGGTCGACTCTACTTTGACAAGTCTACTTCCTTATTATAGTTTGAGTATCTTCTTATTTTTAGGGCTCATCTTCAGATATGGTCTCTGATCAGGTTCTGCTTCTAATTCATTATGCCTTAAACACCTGGCAAGGTTTTGATTCTGTCCATAAGGTTTTCCGTGGTGAATTCCTCCATCACCAGTCTGTTCCTTCTTCATTCTGTTTAGTCTGGAAGCTGTGCTGTAACCTGTTGGCTTTGGGTGATCCTGCTGGTAACTGAAATACCAATGACATAGCTTTCACCATCACAGCAACACAACAGGCAACACAGTACAACTCACTGACAGACAAGTAGTACCACTTGCAATAGTGGAGGGATTTAAGATATTCTTTGAAAGATTAAATCTAAGCCCATGATTTTCCTCAGTTAAAATAAAGCAGTATGTTTGCTGTTAGGTGTCATCACTCAAGAGTGACCTCAGAGTAACAGAGTGAAATGATGTGGAGTCCTGCACCTTCCTCACAATAGTAAACAGGTGTGAGTGCATTATGGCACCTACTATGCCCACCTATCTTGTTGTGGGTCTTTTTTCTTTTTCTTTTTTACTGACCCGTTGCTTTACACAGCACAGTGTACTTACTTCTCCAGTGCTTGGTGGCATCAGAAAATGTCTCCCATGTACATGAGACAAAGAATAGATCTTGCCATCCCACTTTGGCTATTATTTCCTCCAACACAGATTCGTTTCTTCTTCTGCAGTTCTGGTACATTCAATAGTCTCCTCCAAGACTGTGATTCTCATGCGTCAATTCTCCTTTGGCTTTCTTTTAACACTGTCCAGGTTTTCCAAGCAAGGGAGGTAATACCATGGCTTACGTAACATGTACCTTAGTATCAACGATATTCCTTTTTAATAATTAAGGAAGCTTTTTTCAGAGTTGCCCAATGCAGTATGTTATAAATTTCTTGACCAATGTCCACTATTTTAAAGGGCACTGACATCCAAGTAACAAAGTCCTTGACAACTTCCAGTATTTTCTGTTATCAGGATGTTGCTTTTCCCACTATACAGTCAGTAATGCTACTGCATCTTTCTCATCAAATCTAACAATCCTGAAGACTTGGAATGTTTAAATCTAAATTTTTTCATCTAATCAACTAAAAAAGTTGTATGTAACAAAATTTATGTCACCCCCTCATACTATTCTAAATATCCTCCTTACATCAAGTACTGATTACTGCAATGTGAACCATGCCAGGTTTTGACCATATAATTTTCCGATCTTTCTAATTTATCCAATCTATGTGAGAATTTTAAACAACTAACTTATTCACAAAGTTAATTTCCCCAAGACTGTATCAATTATTCCCAGGTGTCATAAACAAAAACAGAAGGGCACCATACTCAAATTAGAAAGTAAATAAATTTATTCTTGTTACGCTTTAAAATTTTTTTTCCCAGAGAGAAAAGGCTGTATTATCTATTTCAAACTTAATCTGACCTAAACTTCTCCCATGAAATACTTTCACACAATACATTTTGGGAAATGCAATTTGGAGTTTTCGGATGGGTAGGTTATGGCTTTAATGATTCCATATTCTGAGTCTGCAGTTTTCATGAAAGTACAACAGCAGACAGATGACTTAGTTAAGTCTTCACAATTTAACATGCAAATTATTTATAAGATTGAGCTCCTTAACCCTGACTTCCTAATGATGAGCATTATAAAACATTTATCAGATGGCATAATTTTTCACAATTCATATCTTCTCTGTGACAGATGTTAGGGCCCACTCCTTATACTGCCAAAATCTATTCCTTCTCAAAATGACCCTGTCGTTTAGAACAAACCCCTTAAGCTTTCTAAGAGTGTAAATTTTTTTTTTAAACATTTTATTAGGGGCTCATACAACTGTTATCACAATCTATACACACATCAATTGTGTAAAGCACATTTGTACATCATTCTCAAAACATTTTCTCTCCACTTAAACCCCCGACATTAGGTCCTCATTATTCCCCTCCCTTCCCGCTCCCCCCTGCCGCATGAGCCCTTGATAGTTTATAAATTGTTAATTTGTCATATCTTGCCCTGTCCGACGTCTCCCTTCACCCACTTTTCGGTTGTCAGTCCCCCAGGGAGGAGGTCACATATAGTCCCTTGTAATCAGTTCCCTCCACCCTCCCTGTTTCGCCACTCACACCACTGGTCCTGTAGGGCTCACCCGCCCTGGATTCCCTGGATTTTTAGTTCCCATCTGTACCAGTGTACATCCTCTGGTCTAGCCAGACTTTCAAGGTCGAATTCGAGTCATGGTAGTGGGAGCGGGGAGGAAACATTTAGGAACTAGAGGAAAGTTGTATTTCTCATCGTTACATCGCACCCTGACTGGATCGTCTCCTCCCCGAGAGCCCTCTACAAGGGGATCTCCAGTAGCCAATAATGGGCTTTGGATCTCCACTCCGCACTCCCCCCATCATTCACTATGGTAAGATTTTTTGTTCTGATGATGCCTCACACCTGATCCCTTTGACACCTCGTGGTTGCATAGGCTGGTGTGCTTCTTCCATGTGGGCTTTGTTGCTTCTGAGCTAGATGGCCGCTTGATTACCTTCAAGCCTTTAAGACCCCAGACGTTATACTTTTTGATAGCTGGGCACCATCAGCTTTCTTCGCCACATTTGCTTATGCACCCATTTGTCTTCAGCGGTTGTGTCGGGAAGGTGAGCATCATAGAATGCCAATTGACTAGAAGAAAGTATTCTTGTGTTGAGGGAGTACTTGAGTGGAGGCCCAATGTCCTTCTGCTACCTTAATACTAAACCTATAAATGTAGGCTCATAGATCTATTTCCCCATCCTCATATAAATATATTTGCATATGTACATGTCTTTATCTAGACCTCTATAAATGCCCTTTGCCTCCCAGCTCTTTCCTCTATTTCGAGTGTAAATCTTAATTGGCAAGTCAGCCTCCATGGGTTTGAACACAGAGGGACCTTGTGGTTAGCTCCAGTGCTTAACCCATAGCGCTACCATTTACTTTAGAGTTCAGGGCAGACAGATTTGATTTACAGCATGGTGCTTTTTGGAAGGTGCAAAGTTGGTTCTATCCATTTACTAATTTTGGGTTTAGTAGGATTTCCAGGTCCGCTTGTGAGCTTCCTGCATTTTCTTGCTCCAAGACTAAAACGGTTTTCTTGTATATTAAGTGAAATTTACTGTTTTCAAAACTAAACTTAGCTACTAAAATTAAAAGGAATTAAAAAAAAGTAATTACTATCAAATTGATTCCAGTCACAGCCACCTCAGGTGCTTTAGCATTCTATGCTCCTCCATACAGAGAATTTCAAAAGCTAGTGTTTGGAAGCAGATCACCAGGACTTGCATCTGTTTTTTGCTCTTTAATCAAGTATTCTATGGCACTGCTTGCATTCCCAAAGAAATGCTATTAATGGGTTCTAATTCAAATCCTTACAAGCTTTCTGTAATTTCACAATTCCATTATGTCATCACCATAGCTGAAGTAATCTGCCCTCTATAGTTCAAAACCCTAGACAAAACTTACTGCCCTACAAAGTCATCCGTAATTATTTCAATTAATTTCCAATAGCTTTAATGGACAACCTACTAAAAATCACAGGAAAATGAGGTATACTATATAATCCAATTATCAAGTCGCTTGAATATTTTAGTTTCAATGTATAATCTAAAACTGCTTTAATATAAATCCCAAACACTATATCCATGCCTTCCCAAAACAAAATATACAGAACTTAACTTTGAATTTTTATTTCTATTATTTGATTTTCAGTCTTGCCCTTCACTGTCCGGCTTTTTATTCTCTTTAACCTTGAAAGTTTATGTTCTGGGAGCAACTTCATTATCTCTACTTTGTAAATCCTAAATGGACTGAAAAGGCAAATATAATTTGGTTTATTAAAATAGTACATTAAATCTATTTAGATTCAGAATAAAGATAACGTGATTTTGAGTGTAAAGCACAATTTTAAGCATGTAAGAGTAATACTATCTATCTGTGTTTAGTTTTCTTTACTTATTACTTTTTTCTCAGTAGACTTTCATAATCTAAGGGAATTCGATAAGCAATACTGACATAGTTCCCTTACAGTGTTTTACCTTATAGATTGGGAAAGGGGTAGAAAGAGGTATTGTAAAACTAATTTAAATACTTAATGAAATAAGCTGCCCCTGAGTTGATTAAGATTCAGTGACCATCTAAGAACAGAGGAGAACTGCTGCTTAGGGTTTCAAAGACTATACATCTTTATGGGATTAGACAGTCCACCTCATCTTTCTCCCACAGAGGAGCTGGTGGGCTTCCACCATGAAGCTCAGCCCGCCCTTAAATCAACTGTGCCACAAGGTTATTTTCTTGATTGGTATCCAACATGCTCACTGCCATTTACAGGGAAATAATAGCACTGTCCTTTAAAAAATGCAATTTCAATCTCTTCTATTAAAACACGATGAGCAACATATTTTAAGAGGCCTGTTAGTGTACTGGGTTATATGTTGGGCTGCTAACTCCAAGGTCAGTAGTTTAAAACCAACACCCCCCCTTCTCTGGCTTCCTACTCCCATGAAGAGCTGCAGTCTCAAAGGGTCACAGAGGCAGTTCTACTCTGCCCTATAGTGAAGTTATGAGTTGGAATTGACTTGATAACAGTGGGTTTAATTATTTAAAATATCTTTCAATAAGTCTCTATTAAACTGGCACGATATATTCACTTGATGAACATTTTATCAAAGAACTACAAATGACATGAAAAGATGATATACATCAGATGTAAATAAAAGCCATAGTGAGACTTCATTCACTAAAATAACTGTGATTAAAGGTCAGAAAACAGGTTTTGTTAAGGATGGGGAAAATTGCTAATGGTACTATAAAAGTTTGGTGGTTTTCTCAAAAATTAAACACAAAATTACCATAGTAATCTACATTACATAGTAATCTAGCAGTTCTGGTCCTAGGTTGATATCCATAAACACTGAAAACAACTAGGCAACTGTATGTGTACACCAATATTCACTGCACTACTGTATACAGCAGTGGTTCTCAGCCTTCCTCATGCCGCAACCCTTTAATACGGTTACTCGTGTTGTGGTGACCCCCAACCATAACATTATTTTCATTGCTACTTCTTAACTGTAATTTTGCTATTGCTATGAATCAGGCGACTCCTGCAAAAGGGTCCTTCGACCCCCAAAGGGGTCACGACCCCCAGGCTGAAAATCACTGATATATAGTCAAAGGTGAAAACGTTCTAAATGTCTATCAACTAATGAATAAATATATAAAATGTGGTTAAAAACATGTAGTTGAATATTAATCAACCATAAAGAGAAATGAAGTTCTGATAACTGTTACAACATGAATGAACCCATTTGACAAGTACATAGAGACCAAAAACTTACTTGTGACTATTAAGGGCAGCTGAAAGAAACGAGAAGGGGTAATACACTAAGGGGACACAGAGTGCTTATGATGGAAGATGGGAAAATTTGGACACAGTGAAAAGATATTGGTTGAACAACATGATAAACTTAAGTAATGTCATTGATAAAAACATGGGGAAAATATTGCAAAGGTAAACAATGTCTTATATATACACATATTTACTATTATACCCACATAGTTAACAACTTACCAGTGGAAGATGAATTAACAGTTTCAATAACTTTTGAAGTATCTGCATCTTTTCTATATAAAATTAAAAAATGAGATTTAGAAGTTCTAAGTTCTATGAATGTCTAAAAATGGAATACTTAAATCTAAAAACGTTTAAACCAATTAACTTTAATAATGTCTCATACTTAAAGGGATTTCAATTCACAGTAACCTATAGCACAAAACAGAACTACTCCCCATGGCTTCCAAGGCTGTCAATATTTAAGAGGGTAAAAAAAATGATGGAAGCAGAAAGCCTCATATTTTCCCCTCAGAACAGCTAGTGAACTGGAACTACTGACCCTGTGGATGGCAGCTTGACATGTAACCCACTATACTACCAGAGCTCTTATTTAAACTGAAGAGTGGTAACATCTAGCTTTAAGTATTAAAATGTCCTATATTTCATATGTATATTCACTACTACATATGAAAGCACTTACTTTAAAGTAGATGCAGATGTTTTCTTTGAATCAGAAGTCTTTTTCTTCACATCTTTGTTCTGTGAAGGAATAATATTTTGTATTAAAAATTTTTTAGATTCTCCTGTTCAATTATGAAAAGCAATTTAGAAAATACAGTAATCCAAAAAATCACATAAAAAAGTATCAATATTTTATATAGGAGGAAGATAAGAATCTTTTCTTTTTCTTTAAAATTGGTCATTTTATTGGGGGACTCTTATAAACCTCTACCAATGCATCATTCAATAGTATTAAGCATAGTTGTACAATGTTGCCACCAACATTTCCAAAACAATTTCTTTCTACTTGTATTCAGCTCATTTACCCCCTCCCTCTCCTCACCTTCCCACCCTTGTGAATTCTTGATTAATTTTTTATTATTATTGCTATTTCGTGTCTTACACTGTCCGTTGTCTCCTTTCACCCACTTTGTTATTTGTCATCTCTCGACACACGGAATTCGGGACAAATAAAGAATTATTTCCTTTAATTTTTAATTCATTTGACAGCTCGCCTTTCAGCACATCTCTATATTTAATCATTAACTATCTTCCAAGAATATTATTTTTAACATGCCTATGTCATGTAAGGTGCTGAAAAGCAAAGATGTTACTTTGAGGACTAGGCTGCACCTACATTACGCCATGGTATTTCAATTGTATAAGAAGATTGCAGAAGAATTGATGCATTTGAATTGTGGTGCTGGTGAAGGATACTGAAAGTATCATATACTGACAAAAGAATCAGTAGATCTATCTTAGAAAAAATACACCAGAATGCTCCTTAGAGGCAAGAATGGAGAAACTTTTTGTCTCGCATACGTTGCATATGCTATCGGAAGAGATTAATCCCTAGAAAAGGACATCATTCTTGGTAAGTAGAGGGGAAATGAAAAAGAGGAAGACCTTTGACGAGTGGCTGCAATCATGGGCTCCAACAGTAACAATTTTGAAGATGGCACAGGACGTGAGCGGTGTTTCTGTCTGTTGTTCCAAGGGTCACCATGAGTAAGAAATGACTCGTCAGCACTAATAACATGTCTTCTCAAAATGTGTA